CTGATACTCTAAGATCTGAATGGCCTGATTTAACAAAAGAACTGATCCAGACTGGTAATATATGAAATATATTATTATTAAAACGCATTTACTTTTCATTCTGTTCATAATTATTATATAATTATTTATTATAAATTAAACAGGTGAATTAACTAAAGAAGAAGTCGCTCCACATGCGCATCTCACTATCGTTGGTATTGTTTGTTCAATTGACAATGATATGGCAAAAACTGATATTACCATTGGTGCCGTGACTTCACTACATCGTATTTGTGAGGCTATTGATAACATTTCATCTACGGCATTTAGCCATTCTCGTGCTTTTGTCATTGAAGTAATGGGAAGAAATTGTGGTTGGTTGGCTTTAATGGCTGCTATTAGGTATATAATTGTTTAAAAAAAGTTTTTTTTTTTTTTATATTTCAAAAAGATAATATCTTAATTGTATTTAATGTTAAGTACTGGCGCAGATTATGTTTTTATTCCTGAACGTCCTCCAGAAGCAGAAAAGTGGAAGAAAGAAATGTGTGAAACATTAGAAAAGGTATTATTTTAATTTTATACTATAAAGAAAATAATATCAAATTTTTAATATAAAAAATATATATGTTTGTAATAGCAACGCGAAGCTGGCAAACGTAATACGATAATAATTGTAGCTGAAGGCGCCATTGACGATAATTTAAAACCTATCAAACCTGAAGATATCAGAAAACTCTTGACTGAGGTGAAAATTGACACGAGAGTCACGACGTTAGGACATATTCAACGTGGTGGTAGACCATGTGTTTATGATCGGAATCTTGTAAGCTTTCTTTCATTTATTATATTATATTATAATTCTATATAATTTCAACGTATTGGTTATTATTCAATATATTTGTTATTTATGTATCAAAAATTTTGTTTAAATAGGCTACTCTGCAGGGTTTTGAAGCTGTAAAAGCTGTTCTTCAAGCAACTCCAGATACTCCATCTCCGATGATTTCTGTAAGAGAGAATAAATTCATGTGTGAAACGTTAATGGAGGCTGTTGAATTGGTTAGAATAAATTTTGGTCTTTAATTTACTTTATGATTTATGTTGTTAAAAAATGGGTTTTTTTGTACATTGATACTGTTAGACCCATCAGGTCTCTAAAGCTATTTCGGAAAAGAATTTCCGTAGAGCAATGGAATTGAGAGACCCCGAATTTGCCCAAGGTTTCGATGCATATTTGTCTACGTCCTTTATGGAGAATAAAGCATCATTGCAAGGAAATCATGTTTGTGAAAATTTATTGTCTACTGATTATTAACCATAAAAAACAATTTCTAATATTTCTATTTATTTTAGTGCCTAAGGATAGGTATAATTCACATTGGTGCACCTGCTGGAGGGATGAATGCCGCAACACGTGCTGCTGTTCGAGTTGCTATTAATCATGGTCATAAACCTATTGCTATATATAATGGCTTTACCGGTCTTCTACAAGAAAATGTCCGTGAACTTAATTGGTTAGATGTTGATGA